ACTCTTGAATGACCAGATGTGGAACCACTAGCATATTTCACTTAAAATCTAGATGCTAAAATATGTGGGGCAAAATATAAAATAATGCAATAAAGGCAAAATAAGGAATGTGATGGTCAGACTGAGCTGTTCCAACCAATCAACCCAGCCCCAACAAGGGGGGGCCGGTCTAGCAGGCGGGCGAAAGAGCGGCTGGCAAGAGGGAGGGGCTCAAAGGGGATTAATTCTACTTTTAATTACTTACCATAGAAAGCCAAAATTGAGAGGGAATTAGGAAGGTTTATTTAGGGAAAAATGACTGATTTCAATTTAGATTTGGGTGGGAAATAGGAAGATTTATTTAGGGAAAGAGGGCTGATTTGAATTCAGATTTGGGATGGAATTATGAAGGTTTATTTATGATTAATTAGGTTATTTTATTTTCATTATGTGATTTTCTGTTTTGCAATAATTTTCTTTAACCAGTTTAGGCGCTACTCGCATTGTTTGCCGCAGTAATATCTGAAAGAATTTATATTGCAAAATATGAAGATGTCTTAAGTTGCAAAACATTACACATATTACAAATTCTTTGAGTCTTCTCCCTAATGATGGGTTTGGTTAGTACCAAATTATAATTGAAAGGACATGCAAAAGTTCTATCAGTTCTCACTATGTTAAACAATACATGATACTTGAAATTATCCTTCTTTTCTTTATGAAGGGTAAGTTATTGCAAAATATAATTAGACGAGATCCCATTATAATTATGCTGCCAAAGTTAAACAAAAACATATATGAAAGCATCATACCTCGTGATGGGTGAAACTATTGCATATTATAATTAATAGGGTTTATCATCCAAATCAAATTCCCAACCATACAAAAAAATACAACTCGAGCTTCCATCCTATCATGGGTATGATCTTCATAAATCTTAACCGATGAGGTTTATGAAATCATTAAATGGTCCTGAAACATAAATCATATCATATTTTGAGCATTACTATTGATGGGTATGATTATAATCAATCATTCTTGCAGTGCTTCATTTCCAAAATTAAGCTCTCAATCATAAAGATTAGCACTTTGAGCCTTTTTGCATTAATGGGCTTGGTTATTTGAAAATCAGAACGGAGTGGATCAAGTTTTTACATTGTTAACCGGAATCAAGTTTTTACATTGCTTGAAAATAAATCTGCCAGATGACATTCATCATTCTAAATTATTGATAGTTTAGGATGGCTAATGAAATTCCGTGTCACGATATTTCACTGAATTGGCTGGTGCAGGAACTCAACGGCTTCCACGGCTTATTGGCCTCACTAAAGCTCTTGAAATGATGCTGGTGAGATGATACTTGTTGGTTGCCTATGAGTTTTCCTGTTCAATATATTTAATATTGGCATTATTGATTTATTTGAAATTACTATTAATGGATTTCTTTTGAAACAGACGTCCAAACCTGTGAAAGGGAAAGAAGCTTATGCGCTAGGGCTTGTTGATGCTATTGTTCCACCTGGTGATTTGCTAATAACTGCTCGTCACTGGGCCATAGAAATTGCGGAGTGCAGGCGGCCTTGGATAAAGAGCCTTTATAAAACTGACAAAGTAGGGTCATTGAGGGAAGCTAAAGAAATTATCAAGTTTGCAAGAGCTCAGGCACAAAAGCAATCTGCTTATCTCGAACATCCACGAGTTTGTATTGATGTCATAGAAGAAGGTATTGTATCAGGGCCTCGTGCTGGACTTCTGAAGGTAGTTTTTATTTTTAGTTGGTGTATTTTTTTCCTTTAACATGAATCTATGTTCTGCGTTTTTTGCTTTGTACTGAGTATTAATTTCATTTTTCAGGAAGCAAATGCTTCTTGGACTCTTCAGTTCTCTCCCACAAGCAAAAGTTTGGTGTGTTCTTTGCGCAACGAGCTACTACCAAGGTCAACCAATTGCTTGATCACTTTAGGCTTCGTTTGGTTTACACCGGCGTTTTTTTTCATTCTTAAACGGAGGTGTTAGAACGGAGAAGCGGAATTTTTTTACTTCTCAAATCGGTGAAAATTCGGAGTTATATCAAAGGTCCTTTGAAAAAGTGACGCAAACAAACATTAAAATACTCATTTTTTTCCGATTTCAATCGCAAACGGAAAAATTTACGGGCAACCAAACGAAGCTTTATACGTACATTTTTGTTTGTGCTTGTGGTTATGTTAATACTGGAAAAGTGTATATTAGCAAGGCTTCTTTTTTTATAAAACTGTATGTCTTTATGTGTCCTAGTAGTAGTAGCTTTCTCAGAATAATTGCTTAAGATTTGTTACATCAGAGAGGCTTAGCTTGGTAGTTGAAGCTTGCACTTCAGAATGCTTGTCATGCAATCATTCTAACGGCTAAAATTCCTTCACCTTTAAACTCTGCTGCTAGGTGCCAATAAGGTCATAATGTTTAAGATATACTGCTACGTTTTCCGAGGCTTTTGATGCCTTTAAATTTCCTGACCACAAAGCGGAGTGGTGCAATTGGTAAAACTGTAGGTCGTTGGATGCCATGATTGCCGGTGAAAGGAAATTAAAAATATGCTTGATATCTTAAATCAGATGTAACATGGAAGGCTTAGTATCATGGGCATGCCATCTTCTTCTCTTTAGCTCTATCCAAACATGAAAAGCTGCTAAATTAGACTGGCACCGCGATGGATAGATGCCACTTAACACCATCTGGATGCTTTAGAAATTTTTACGTGGCCTTAATATAAATATAACGTCTCTTTTAACTTTTATTAGACGTCTCTCTATTCTAAAGGTCTATCTTTAATGGAGCTTATTTATCATGGAGTCCTGCTAAAAATTGCTTTTACGGTTAATTTGAGGCCAGCTTTCAAGTTTAAGCAACTTCTTCCTTTGTGAGCTTGTTCTGTTCACCATAATCCGTTTGAATTGTGCATGTATATGATGTCCTAGCCAGTCCATGTAACCTCAGACATCATCCATCCCTGAATCATATGGTTTTGGCCTCAAGGGATGCTTATTCACCATCGAATCATGTTAAGAATTTCATAGGTTAAATCTTGGTCCCTAAAACTTTTAAAAGACCATCCATGCAAGTCTAATTATTTTTAGAGTTTTGCTGTTCACTTAATGGTAATGATCTAGATTACCACAATCAGGATTGAATTGTGGTCTTCCACTTTTAGGTTCCAACTTAGGCGAAGTTTGGGATGGCTTTCTTACTACTTCTTTAAGAAGTTTTTTAGTTCAAAAAATTTAATTTTTTTTACTAGAAAGCTGCTTTAAGAAGCAGTAAGAAAGCCGTCCCAAACAAAACCTTAGTCTAGGATATTTGTGAAAATTTCATATAATTTTTTTAGCCTGCGGACAACAAAATGATGGCAATTCGGAGTCAATCTTTTAAGTTTCTTATTCCTATATGACTCCTAAAATTTTCTCGTACTTTTACTGTAAATAAGTACAGCCAATCCGAGCACTGCCTGTTTTTCTGTTTTGTTTTGCTTTTTTTATGTTGGCTAGGAGCTAGTTGAACATGAGTCGAGCTAGTTTTTCATCATACTTGCCAGCACTTATTGCAACCCTACTCGTTCTGGCTTGGTGTTTGAAATGGTGTTTTTTGAACCTGTTTTGACCGTTAAATCTATTTTTTCTAGATAAGCCATATGAAAAATGAAAGCATTTGGTCAAGTTATAAAAAAATGCACTTGACGTTGATGAAGTAATTTCAGCCCTATGGTTCACATTCACAACCTTTTCAGACCTTTTTTTTCGAAGCATAACTATCTTCATGACGTCATGCATGATCTTCTAATGTTGATGACCGAGCTCTAGCTCAGGCAATATTTTTAGGATAGAAATCTCAAATTCGAATCTAACATGTGTCCTATTTATAATCAATTTTGACACCCTTGTTTTAGGTTCCTGGAATTTCTGACTTGGGTTTGACCCCTAGAAATAT